TTCTAACCTCATTTGAAAATTCTTGTTGATCTAGGACTTTGTCCAAACACATCTTTAGAACCCATATTTTCTTATCAATTTGTGTCTCTTTTTATATCTATTTCCTAGTCAGACAGGAAGTTGTGGAGTTAAAGTATTACAACTAGGTCCTTCCCAGGTCCTAGATCTCAAAGGAAACACTGTATATTTAGGCTTAGTTTGTTTTTTGTTGTGTTGTGTTTTTTTGTGGGGTTTTTTTAAAAAGTATCCTAGAAATTGTATCCTTTGCCACTGACACAATTGTTTATCTAGGGTTTGACTGAAAATTAATGAGTAAGAAAACATATATCCATACAAAAGTTTGTACATAAACTTTCATAGCTGTGTTATCCATAATAGCAAAAATTAGAAACAGCTCAATGTCCAATGAATATATAATAAAATGTTGTTGTTGTTGTTGTTATGTGACATCAAGTTGCCTGCAACTCATAGTGATCCTATCTACAACAGCCCTAAACCCTGCTTTATCCTGTGCCGATCTAATTGTCTCTGACACATCTACACTCATTACTCTAGTCACTAAATCAATCCATCTCATCGAGGGTCTTCCTCTCTTGCACTGTCCCTCCTCCCTCCACCCTCCTAAGCATGAAGTCTGTCTCCAAGGACTAGTCCCTCCTTGCAACATGTCCAAAGTATGTCAGACAAAGCTTCAGAATCCTTGTCTCCAAGGAGCAGCCTGCTTCACCCTCTTCAAGTCAAACTTGTTTGTTCTCCTAGCAGACCATGGTATATTCAATACTCTCTTCCAGCACCACAGCTCAAATGCATCAGTTCTCCTTCTGTCATCCCTAGTCATTGTCCAGATTTTTGATGCACAGCAAGTAATTGCAAAGACCATGGCCTGGATTACGGGGACCTTGGTCTCTAGACTGACATCATTGCTCTTCAGTACCTTGGAGAGGTCTCTGACAGTACACTTTCCCAATGCAATTCTTTTTTTTTTTTTTTATTTCCTGGTACCAAGAGTGTTGATTGTAGGGCCAAGCACTCTCTTCATTGTCTATCATGATGCTGCCAATAAGCCCAAGAGTGAGAATCTTTGTTTTCTTGATGTTGAGCTTCAATCCACATTGAATGCTGCAGTCCTTGACCTTCTACAACAAATGCTTCAGGTCCTCCTCAATTTCAGCAAGTAGCGTTGTGTCATCAACATAATGCAGATTGTTGATGAGTCTATGTCCAATCCTGGTATCACACTTCTCCTCATAGAGCCCAGGCTCCCAATGAAAGACCCTAAACTAGGGCTTTTCCCAGACCAGCCGTGACCCCGAGCTACTCACACCAGATCCACTTGCTGTAATCACAAGAGGCTTTATTGACGAAGCTTCGGGACGACTTATATCTCACATGAGAGACAGGGAAGTCGACCCCGAGCCCCAAAAAGCAAGGGAATTTATACTAGGTCTAGGGGTTCTTTGGCGTAGAGATAGCTCATTGGCTCTTTGGAAAAGGAGAAGTTCAATTTTAGGTCAGGTGCCTGCTGCTGACGTTAGTTAAAATATGGTTTTTGCCAGTAATTGTTTCTTCAGTTTGTGGTCAGCTAGTTCCTGGAACACAAACATTCACACAAGATCAAAGGTATAGGTTCTTACAATACTGATCAAAGGTATGGGTTCTTACAATACTTGGGTTTGGGGACATTATTATTATTATTTTTTAAATTTTCCTTTCACCAGGTAATCTGTTCTGTGTATAGATTGAAAAGATATGGAGCTAGGACACATCCTTGATACACACCCTTCTCTATTTTGAACCATGCAGTGTTTCCTTGCTCTGTTCTGGTAAATCCCTCCAGGGCCAAGTATAGGTTTCACATAAACACAATCAAGTGTTCTGGAATTTCCATTCTCAGAGTCAGCCACAGTTTGTTGTGATCCACACAGTCATATGCCTTTGCATAGTCAATGAAACACAGATAGACATTCCTCTGATAATCTCTGCTTTCAGCCAAGATCCATTTGACATTAGCTATAATATCCCTAGTGCCATAGCCTCTTCTAAATCCAGCCTGAACTTCAGGCAATTTTCTGTTGATGTGTTGTTCCAGTGGTTTTTGGATAATCTTCAGCAGAATCTTGCTTGCATGTGATATCAGTGATACTGTTTGATAATTTCTATACTCTGTTGTATCAGCTTTCTTTGGAATGGGAACAAATATAGATCTCTTCCAGTTAATAGGCCAGGTAGTTGTCCTCCAGATTTTTTGGCATTACTTGGTGAGCACATCCAAGGCAACGTCTGTTTGTTGAAATATGTCATTTGGTATGCCATCAATTCCTGGGGCCTTGTTTTTTGCCAATTCTTTCAGAGCAGCTTTAACATCTTCCTTCATCACCACAGACAGTGGAATATTGTTGAGTTATAAAAAGAAATAGGACTACATTATTCACAATAGCAATAAAATGGAAACAGCTCAAATGCTCAACAACAAGTGAATGGATTTAAAAAGTGTGATACATTCACACACTGGAATACTACGGAGCACTAAGGAGCAATGATTTTGTAAAATACCATATAACATGAGAGAGGCTAGAAAAGCATTATGCTGAGTAAAATACTTTAGTCACATATGCACAAATATTGTGTCAGCCCACTATTGTGGAAAAAATGAAGATAACTGATATATGTAGAAATGTTCAACAGGGAAAGGAGAGAGATAGGCAAAAAAAAAGGAAAGGGGGAAAAATCACTGAGGTAGCAGAGATTAGTGGGTGGAGAGAGGATGAAGTAATGGGAAAATCTCAGTGAAGACTTGAAAAAATGAGGTGATAATAGGCATAGAGTAATGACAATTGATTATGGAAATATATATATAAATTATTATATAAAACAAAGTACATGTAAAAATGCAATGTATATGAATTATTATATGCAAGCCAATACATTTTTTAAAAAATAACATATTGAGGCATTCTACAATAATGGGTGAACTTTGAAAGTATTGCTAAGTGAAAGAAACCAGTTATGAAAGAAGTTACTGTCTGATTTAATTTATATATCTCAAATAAGAAAATCTACATAGACATAACATAGAGCAGTGATTCCCCAAATAGTAGGAGGAGGGGAAAAATATTAATCTCCAGATAGTTGGTTTTAGGGGGCCAAAAATGTACAGGGCTATGGTAGTGGTTGCATGATGCTGAAAATGCTTAAAACCATTTCACTTAACTTTGAGTAAAAAATAATTTTTTTGCCTTGAATGATCTTTCATAATGTCTGGATTTTTTTGCTCCAACACCTGCCAATTATGAGCTATGTGATATTGGACGAAGTTTGCCCCTCAATTTCTTCCTCTTATAAAAATAAGAGTGGATTTGATGACTTGGGTCAGGTACATTTTCTCTATGAAGTAAATAGAATGGAAGGAACCTAATGACATAGAAAGATTCCTCCAATAAGTTGTCCTGGAGAGCCATCGTATTACTGGAGAATGTCATTCAGCACATCACAATCACAAACCTCAGATGACTACTCAGGATCGCCCAACAAAACGGCACTGTTTCTCCTGTCTCTGACCCTCGCATTCTCTATAATTGCCATTTCAACTTTTGCCACTCTCAAACATCATTCTCATATCCTCCCCTCCACCTGTTTCCACTGTCAGCCCATCACCTTGTCCTTTATTCACAATTATAACAGAATCCAAGAGACAGACATTCTCATTTTCCCATATCCTAATACAAAAATGTGTCTACATTTCATCTTCCTTTTGCAAGAGAGGAGCCAATCACTTATACAGAAAGTAATTCTCTGACCTGCACTTCAAGGACCAGTTCACTACTACCTTTCAAAGATAGAAACCATTAGTGTTATCCCTTCTCTCTCCTAACTGTATCCTTCTCAACTGTAGCCTTCTCAACAGCTTTTACTCTTCAGTTAACAATATATAGACATTGAACTCACAGGTTTATGAGTATTTCTAATTGCCAGCTGATGAGCTCTGGTGGCCTAGTGGTAAGAAGCTGCCTTGCAATCACAAAGGCATGCTGTTCAAATCCAGTAGCAGCTCTGGCATGAGAAGGATAGGCAATCTTCCCCCACACCAGACCACCCCCTTCCCCGCCCCATGATTTACTGCCTCTGAAAACCGGCTGTGAAAACCAACTGGAGATTCAGCTCTGACTCGATGGCACACACAACAATAGCAGTTGCCAAATGAAATATGTCCACTAGTTGGCAATGCTCTCTTGTTGTTTGTCATCAAGTTGGAACCAAACCATAGTTGACCCTCCAGCTGGTTTTCAGAGGCTGTAGACTGTATGAGAGGAGATTGCCTGTCTTTCCCCTGTTGAACAGCTGGTGGATTTGAGCCACATTTTTTAAAATTTTCATTATTGGCAGGGCAATTTCTTACCACTAAGCCACCAGAACTCTGTAGTAGGCTATAGTGAAACTATATCTTTTCTTTCACTGATGAGCTTTGAGATTGTTCTTTGTTGACATCTTTTCAATTTGGGAAATATTTACATTAATTTATATTTTAGGTATTGATGGTTTAGAGTAGTTTGGTCCCCTGCTCCATAGTGGTGCACTGCTAGCCTAAAGGTTGTGCCTCACTGGTGGTTCAGTTCCACCATCGGCTCCATGTGACATACAGCCTTGGAAATCAAATAAGCTGGTTACGGCTTGACAGCAGTGATGATGAGATACTTTATGCATATTTTCATGTGTACTTTCATACATACATGCACTAAAGCCATCTGTGAATGATTATTTGCTTACAAATAATAATTTTCTGATTTTATCTTCAGCTGAACACATAAGATAAGTGTTATAAATTATCCAAAGAATGGAATTCTTTTTAACACAGATTTGGTAGAGGACTAAATGTCAGTTCACTATATTTAGGCTAGTTTGTAGATATTAAGTATTTATATATATATATATATATATATATATATATATATATATATCAGGATATATTTAAAAATAAGCATTGGATTTTTTTTTTCATTTAGGCTATGGAAGCAGGACTCTCAGAAGTAAAAAGTGAGTTACAGTCACGAGATGATCTCTTGAGAATTATAGAGATGGAACGATTGCAGTTGCACAGAGAATTATTAAAAATGGGAGAGTTCCAAAGTGCTCAAGAAAACCAAAAAAGGTATATTCTTTCTATTCATCAGCCTGGGAGACAAGATTAATACATTTGCTTGAGTAGCTTTTGAAATTTTAAACCAGGATAAAAAAGCCTATTTGTTTTATATCTACATACTGTTAGTAGATTAATTTTAGATATTAAAAACAAGATTAATATTCTTGACTTTAAAAATTGGTGTTTTGACTTACCTTAAAAATGACATCACATTCTGATTTATGGATATCTATGTGCTGTCATCTCTTGTTCATAGGAGTTTCATAAGCCTACTATTTCAGAAGTGAATAGCCAATCCTTCTTCCTAGTCTGTCTTAATCTGGGAGCTTTACTAAAACTTGTCCTCCATGGATGACTCCTCTGGCAGTTGACACACTGGTGGCACAGCCTTTAGTATCACAGTATCCACAAGTTACCTCAGTACAGCAAACTAACAGACAAGTGCTATAATAATTAGAACAATGATAAATAAGCAAAAATACAGATACCCAGGGTATAAAGTAATAAGCAATATGCAGACATTCTCCATGACAACAAATTAACAGGTAAGTTTCACCATGAAAACCCTATGAATGTTAGAAGAACACAGATAAAGTATTAGAAGTAGAGACCAGGTTGAAAGTCAGTCAAAATGAGGAGAAATAGCTACACACATCCTTTAATAGTTGGAACATGGAATGTATGAAGTATGAATGTTAGAAAACCAGAAGTTATGACAAATTAAATGGGATACATGAACATTGTAATTCCAGGAATTGATAAGATGAGGTTGACTTGTTTTGACCACTTTGAATCAGAAAAATCACATGGTATACCTTTTTGAGTAAAATTTTAATTGTGATTTTAGTGAATGTTTACAGAGAAGTTAGGTTTTCATTCATTCACTGTTGCACATTTTACCCCATATCCTTCCCCTCACCTCCCCTAATTCACTTAAAAAAAAAAGATATCAATTTGTTGTTACAAAATTACCTACCTGTTGCAGTCCTCTTTGCAATTATATACCTCTTATTTTCTGCTCTTGTTGTTTGTATAATGCTTAATCATCTATTCCTTTTAGAGAGTTCTTTCCTTAATCTATCCACTCTTATCCTCCCCTCCTCCCAACCCCTTATGTCAGATGTGCACATCATGCTGAGTGAAATATCCCAATGACAGGGAACAAATACTGTGTAGCACCACTGTTATAAAGCATGTCTGACATGGTGTACTATCTTGGAAATGAAAAACAGAGGAAGAATGATGTTGTATTCATAGTTAGGAAGACAATTTCAAGTTCTATCATGAAGTACAAAGTTGTGAGTGATAGGATATTATCTATATGCATAGAAGGAGTGCCTGCTAATACAACTATAATTATATACATCAACAGCTAAAGCCAAAAAGGAGGAAATTGAAGATTTCTATCAAATTTTGCAGTTCAAAATTGACCAAAGGTACAATAAAGATATGTTAGTATTTGTAATCAAACCAGTATAAAATGAAAATGTTATTTAGGGGGGGCAAATATCAAAACAATAATGAAAAAAAGATACATTAGTGATAATTGGTGACTGGAACACAAAAGTTGGAAACAATAAAGAAGGAAGCTTACTTAGTCAGAAAGTACAGGCTTGGTGTCAGAACCAAGGTGGGAAATAGAATTTCCAAATTTTTTACACTTGATGATTTATTCATCACAAATACCTTTTAAAAAACACAAATGGCAACTTTACACATGGACCTTACCAAGTAGATAGCATAGAAATCAAATTGGCTACTTCTATGGAAGGAATCACTGGAGAAGCTCAATATCAGCAGGTGCTGACTGTGGAATAGACCATCAGTCACTCCTGGACAAGTTCCAATTGAGACTGAAGAAAATGAAAAACTATGCAAAACCCAAACTATGATCTTGAGTCTATCCCACCTGAATTTATAAGCCATCTTAATAGGTTTGAAGCACTGAACACCAATGACTGAAGACCAGATGAGTTGTGAGATGACATTGAGGATATCATCCATGAAAAGAGCAAAAGATCTCTACAAAGACAGAGGAGGAAGAATAAACCAAAATGATTGACCAAAGAGACACTGAAAATTGAACTAGAACATTGAGAAGCTATAACAAAGGGAAGAGATGTTGAAGTAAAAGAATTGAACAGAAGATTTCAAAGCGCAACTCAGGAAGACAAAACTAACTATTATTATAACAAAATATGCACAGACCTAGAATTGGAGAATGAAAAAGTAGAACTCGCTTGGCATTTCTCAAGATGAAAGAATGGGGGGGGGGAATTCAAGCCAGGAGTAGCAATATTTAGAGATGCTCTGGATAAAATCTTTAATAATTCAGAAACCATCAAAAGAAGAGGGAGGAAATATACAGAATCACTATATTAAAAAGAACTGGCTAACACTGAAATGTTTCAGGAAATACCATATGATATATGGTAGGAAGCTCTGGTGGACTAATGGTAACAAACTGTGCTGTATCCTAAGGATATGTGGTTCAAATCCACTAGCTGCTCTGTGGGATAAAGATGGGCAGTGTCTTCCTTATGATTTATTGCCTCTGAAAGCCCACTGGAGGGTCAACTATGGGTTGGTTCCAACCCAATGATACTTAACAACAACAGCAACCATATAATGAAGAGACAATAGTAAGGAAGGGGAAAGTTCAAGCTGCACGGTAGGCATTAGCAAAAAATAAGGATCAGGAATCAATGGGATACCAATTGACATGTTTCCAATGACAGATGTTGCAACCTTGGATGTACTCACCAGACTTTGCCAGGAAATTTGTAGGAGAGCTTCCTGGCTGACAGATATTGATATTTGTTTCCATTGCCAAGAAAGGTGATGCAACAGAATGTGGAAACTATCAAAAATAATATTATATGCAAATGAAATAGTGCTGAAATCATTCAAAAATGGCTAGGACACTACTGCCAGAAGTTCAAGCTGAATTTAGAAAAGGCCATGACACCAGGAATATCATTGCTTATGTCAAATGGATCCTACCTGCAAGCAAAAAATATTGGAAGAATTTCTATTTGAGCTTTGTTGACTATGCAAAGGTGTTTGATCGTGTGCATCATAACAAATTATGGCCAACATTAAGAAGAATGGGAATCCCTGAACACTTAATTAATTGTGCTCATGTGAAACCTATACATAGACTAAGAAGCTGTTGTGTGTGGAAACAGATCAAAGGAACATGACATGGTTTAAAGTTAACGAAGAGCTTGCATCAGGGTCCTTTCAGATCTTATTCGGTCTGTATGCTGAGTAGACTACCCAAGAAGCTGGATTCTGTGAGGAACAAAGTGGCATCAGGAGTGGAGGAAGACTCATCAGTAATTTTTCTTATGCAGATGACACAACTATGCTTGCTGAAAGTGAGGAGTGCTTGAAACACTTGCTGAAGAAAATCAAACACTTGCAGCCATCAATATGGATTGCATCTCAATGTTAAGAAAACAAAGTTTCTTGCCACATAGACATCATCATAGATGGATAAAATATTGATGCTGTCAGTGATTTCATCCTACTTGCATCCACAATCAATACACTTTGTAACAGCAGTCATGAGATTAGATGTCTTTTACTGGAAAATCTGCAATCATAGACCTCTCCAAATTACTGAGGAGTAATGATGGTACTTTGAAGACCAACGTACATCTGATTCAGGCCATGATCTTTTCCAAAAGAACAAACAGATATGTCTTGAAGAAGGTGCAATCACAGTGCTCCTTGGAAGCAAAGATAGTGAAGCTTTATCTTGCATATTTGTGGCATGTTGCTAGTAGAGGCTATTCCTTGGAGAAAGACATCATGCTTGGAAAAGTAGGGGTACAGAGAAAGAGAGAAAGACACTTTGACACAGTGACTACAGCAATAGACTTGAGTTTGTCAGAGATTGCGAGGATGGCACAGGATAGGACAGGATTCATGTGTGTTATTGATAGGGTCATACTCAACTCCATGGCACCAAACAACAACATATGCTGTCAAGGACCTCTTTAAAGTGCTAAAGAGCTAGTTGTCAGTTTAAAGACTAAGGTACACTTGATGAAAATCATGGTATTTTCAGTTACTTCATATGAATCTGAAAGTTAGACAATAAAGGAAATAACAGAAGAGTTGATACCTTTGAATTATGGTGTTGGTGAAGAGTATAGAATATACCATGAATTACCAAAAGAACAAATAAATCTGTCTTGGAAGAAGTACAACCAGGATGCTCCTTAGAAACAAGGACTGTGAAACTTCTTTGAGCATGTTGTCAAGAGGGGCCAATTCTTGGAGAAAGAAATCATGCTGGGAAAAATGGGGATCAGAGAAAGCAAAGAAGACCCTTAACCAGGAGGACTGACAGAGTGACTGCAACAGTAGACTTGCACATGACAGAGATTGTGTTGCTTCCACAGAATAGGGCAAGGTTCAGATATCTTGTTCATAGGACCACTGTGAGTCATAGTTGAGTTGACGGTACCTAATAACAACAATGTGTTAGGAAAGAGCCCTGGTGGTACAATAGTTAAGCACTGGACTTCTCACTAAAGTCAACTGCTTGAACTCACCCTTCACTCTGCAGGGGAAAAGAGCTGGCAACCTGTTCCCATAGAGCTTGTGGTCTAGGAAACCCTCTGGGGCAATTCTCTGTCCTGTAATGTCACTAGGCACACAACAGATGTGTCATAGTAAGTCATAGAAACTTTTCTTCACAACACCAGAAAAACATTTCATTATGCTTATGAATAAGGCTTATCCCATATTTTTCAAGTTTTTATTCAGTTGCTAGAAAATTGGAAGTTAACTTTGAAACTCTTTAAATGTCTTTATTTTGGTCTCCAAATTCAACATGTTGTTAGTCCCAATAAGATTCTTTCATTAGAATATAATTTCCCCCTCTTTTAAAGTCATAGATGTATATTCAATAACCACATGGGCAATTAAACTGCTAAACAATGAAAGATTTATCCTTGTGAATAGACACTGTGTTCAACTGTCATTACAAATAGACT